TAACAGAGCTTATCCCTACTCAGGAAAGCGTGCTCTAGACTTTATGGCCCCTGGGGAGGGGTGGGGCAGGTTGCCACACCAAAGGTGAGAAAGGGAAGGGAAAAGGTAGCGAGTAGCCTGGGCCGAGACAGGGCTTGGCCAGGCTCGGATGCACCCGCCTCTCTGTAAGCAATTATGCAGCGGCCTCATCACGTTTCAGACGCCCTCCCAGGAGCCCCCCCCCTCAGCCCCATGCATCCCCGCTGGGTGCCGAGCAAGAGGACCATATGGAGGGAATAATAAGACAATTAACTTTCCATTAAAGAATAATATATGTGGGTTTTTAGGGAGGCAAGCGACAGCAATCCCTACCCAGCGGCATATTTCACACCCGAGCCCCTTACCACCCGCCCCCGCTAGGACGCGCCTCACATCACCATCATCTGCGAAAGGAGAGAGGAGGGTGCCACCGGGCCCCAACGGGAGCAGGCAGCTGGATGGAGGGGTGGGTCTGCGTGAAGGGGTGGGGTCTTCGAGAGAGGTGAGGGCAGGGCCACCAGAATGATAATTGTTGTTGGGGGGAGCAGCTAGTGAGGATCTGGGAGGGGATTTGTGGGGTTGCCTCATCATCCCCTGGTAGGCTCTTGGTGTACTGCACGCCTAAGGAGCTGTTTGCTGCCTGACTTTCAAAGGCACATACAAACCAGTGTCCTGATGGAAGGACCCACCATGGGGCCAGGGGTCACAGTCTCAGCCGTTGCCTGGCCCTTCTGGGACTGCTTCAAACCCCCGGTGCCTCTCTGCACCCAAGCATTGTCCCTGTTCTTCTGTCCCGCCCCTCTATGTTTCTGAGGTTCCATGCCACTTCAGGGCACTGCTAACCTTGCCTTGGATGCCCAGCGCGCACTCTCCTCGAATGGGGGGACAGACCACATCTTCAGCAAACGGTAAAGCCAGTGTGCAAGCATGCAGAGGTGCCAGCTGGGGAGGAGGGGAGGAGGAGGTGGGGAGGAGGCAGAGAGACATTTCTCAAAGGCATCTACAGAGGACCCTGGATGTTTCCAGACTTTGGTCTGCTCCAATAGCCAGCTCCAGATGTGGCACTCGGCAAATATTAATTACACATTCCTGGGAGCGCTGAGCTGATGAGCGGGACGAATAGCCAGGGGCGAACAAGACAGAGCAGGATGGTGGCGTTGGCGCTGGTGTAGAAAAGCTATTTTTGGTTCTCATAAGAGGTTGAGGAGCCATAGACACCATAAGGCCTGAACTCAGCACACTGTTTGGAGGATGGTAGTTGGGTGGGACCCACTAGGGGCTTATCAGTTTAGGGAGCTGCTGTCTAAGCTGGTTTGTTTGCCTTGACACCCACCCTCCAGCACCCATGGCTGGCCGGTCTGAGCTCCAGGACAGGACTGGCTGTCGGAGATGAGTGACCAGGACCTTGGTTTACCTCCTTAATGATAGATAGGTCTCTGAGGATAACCAGTAAGCACGTAGCTGGACTAGGATCATCGTGCAGGGGAAGGCAGTTTGAGATAGAGGCAGGGCCGTGGGTATTTCTGCCCTGACCAGCAAGAGAGGGGCACGGAGTTGCACACGGGTGGTATGTTTCCAGAAGACACGCTGTGGTCCCCCGGACATGGCCATCTCAGTCTCAGGTCCCCGCTCCAAGCCAGCTCTGTGACAGCTTCCTCTCCTAGACCCAGTCAAAGGTCTTCTTCCCTGTGAGTATCTCAGGCCAGAAACCCATCCCAGGATGTACCTGACGTACCAGTACCAGGTGTGCCTGATGGTGGCCCTGTGCCTGATGGTGGCCCCGTGCCTGATGGCAGTCTCTCCTGCTTTGCTTTTCACAAGGTCTCCAGAGTCACTCTCCTTGTACCCTAGACATCCATTCAGAAGTGGGAATGTCCCTGACCTAGGCTTCAAAGAGGAGAGACCTGCCCTTCTCCTCAGCCTCCCCTTGCACCCCCACCCCCACCCCCCACCTGATGAATTATTCATCTTGATATCCTCATTATGCAAATGAGCTCGGAGCCCAAGCATATGTTCCCTGCTCTCCCCCTAGGATGGGGACAATATGGTGCTGATGGGGGTGGGTGGAGAAAGGGCTCAGGAGACCTCACTCGGCCCCATGGGTTGTGGAGGGGACAGACTGCTTAGGGCTCATACTTTCATGGACTGTACAAGGAAAGTGGGCTCAAGAGCTGAGGCTGGGGGTGGGGCTATAGTGCCCATGAGAGCACAGCTCAGGGGTGCCTGGCTAAATTAAGGAAGCAGAGCTGATAGGTTGGCACCAGACTAGGTGCTGGCCTACAGTCAGATGAGGAAACATGACAGAGTCGTCACAGGAAGTGGTATGCCATGGTTTCTAACCTATAAATGGGCCACAGTCTGCCCCCAGCCATGCCCCCCATGGGGTTGTGATAAGGTTGGGAGGAGGAAAATGCCAAGGCAAGGAAAACTCTCCCAAATGCCAATGTCTGCAGATTCTGCTCTCTTGCAGCTGCCAGCCCTTGAGGCTCCAAGCTACTGGGGGTGGGGCAGCCTCTAGGAGTAGGGCAGGCAAGGAGTGAAGAAGCCATGGAGGAGGCTCTCATCGCCCCAGTGGCAGGTGTTTGGGGAGCTCAGAATCAGCTCTGAGGAGGGGCAGCCCCAGGGGGGCCTAGGCTGTCAGCTTGGCAGCACTTGTGTGAGGGTCTGTGATAGCACTGGTGGCTGGGTCACAGCTCTGCACCATCCGTGCTCCTGACACGTCGGAGCCAAACACAAGCAGGCTACACCGGCCCTCACACGGGCATTGGAAGAAAAGGAGTGAGGGCCAGGGTCGGATGTGAACTGTGGAGCTGGTGGGGAGCTCCCTGGCTAGGTCATTCCTGCTCCCACAGATTTGCTCTCTTCCTCTAGAGCTGTACACCTGTCCCCTCCCCCATGGACACGTCTTGGCAGAATATTCTGTGCTGAGAAGCTGTCCCAGAGCTGTCAGCAAGAAGAGGCTGAGGAAGCAGGTGAGAAAAACTGGAGCAGGACAGAGCCACGGAGAGCTGGCAGCCATGAGCAGCGGAGGGATTGCCAAGAGAAACGGACGCTGGGTCAGCATTTCTTTGCCCACCTGCCATACCAAACACATCCCTACCCAGGTCTCCACAGCCTTAGGCATCCCCTGTGCACTCAGGGGAAGAGAAATAGCCAGAGGACGGGCTGGAGCAGGAGTCAGAAGCCCCAGCTCTGCCACAAGCCAGCTGCAGCAGCTTGTTCACTGTTGGGCTGGTTGAAAGTCAGAGAGGATATGCTCATACTCCATCCAAGGGGAGAGAAAATTACCCTAGGAAAGCAAAATGACCAATGAAGACAATCCTAATGATTTCCAGGGGGCATGGGGAGGTATGATTGGCTTTTTCATTGCTATCCTCACCACCTCATCATCCAGGCAAACCTCCCAGCAAAGGAGAAGAATCAGAGGGACCCAGGTCTCTCAATGGTGCATACTACAGGTTTACTGAGTCGGAATCCATGTCCGGTCCTCACCATCCAGGAGGATCACTGGTCCAGATAGGTCCACATCTCATGCATGTAGTGTACATTATTTTTCATAAATAAATGTTCTGGGCTGCTCATAAATGCAAAATCCTGGAGGGTTCTTAACTGGTACACCTAGTGCCCCGTAGGGAACTTGGAAAAGCATGCACTACAAGTTCCAGGGACCTACCATTCCTCCATTAACCCACACAGTTGCACTTGGCAGTGCCCACTTATAGCCTGGTTAGTGCAGAATGCTATTCCTGAGCCTAAATTGACTCCTGTTCCGGAACAGCTTTTCCTACAGTGCCTTCTCTGTAGCGGCTTCCAAGTGCAGCTGAGTCATTGAGAGTTCACAGGAAGAGTAGGATGGGGGCTACTGCGGTTCAGGCCCAGCACCGGGAGAGGGAGGCTGCAGAAGCCTGGGTGATTTCAGGGGGAACGTTGAGCAAGCTAGTAGCTCAGATGTTCAGACTTGGATGCTCCTCCTCACCATGTTGCCCACTGATTAGCCATCTATGATTAGCATCGTTTATGCCGGGGACTACATCCATGAGCAATGTCACCACTTCCTGGGCACCCAGAAGCTAACCCTGAGAAAGGGCTGAGGATGATCCTTGCCTGGCTCTGAGGGTGTATCTCCTGACCCTGGCACTGGCCAAGAAGGGTGACAATATTTACTAGACTTTCAATTGAACCCCCAATAGTAACTGTCTTCTCCGCTGTTCCCAGGCCAACTATGGGAAGGAGATGTCCATTCATTCCTCTGCTTGGTTCTGGCCAGGACCTCTCTGTACAGAGCCCAGCAAAGAAGTCCTACCCTATTAAAGCCTCACACCCATTACTGTAAGAGCTTGGCTCTCTGAGCCTCCGCATCCCACATAAAGAGCTCAAGCCTGTAGCCTGACAGCAACACATTTTGCAGCCTTCTGGGGGTGACGAATGGCCTGCTCTTCACATCGCTATTTCAAACATTAACATAATCTCCCAGGATGAATGTGGTCGCTGGCGTCTAATCAATCACCCCTCCCGCACCTTGATCCCTCATTCCGACACTTAAAGTAGGCTTGCCACTTCACAGAGACTATAGTGGCTGGAATGCCAGCCTCCCACCCTCTTTCCTGGGTCTTGCTTGGCTTGGCCATACTGTTTACTGATGAGACATCTGGCTTCTGTGCACCCTGTAGCTGTGGCCCCTCAAGGGCCTGGGTTCCCACCCACAGCACTACTTCAAATATGGAGTTCACCAACCTTGAAAACTGAAAAGCCCCAACACCCTTCCAGGCACGAGGTTCATCAGACTGGGCCACCATTCCAACAGGTATCTGAAGAAGGTCAGACCAAGACCCCAAGGAGCACTTCTTGAGATCTAGCTGTACCTCACTATGCCAGGGCCTCAACAATGCCACCTCCTCCTCACTCCCTCGTTTCCATACCCTTTCCTCACTCCTGCTGGGAGGAAGGTCCCTGCAGGAGAGTGAGGGCACCAGCAGCCTTACCTCTCGGAGCTGCTGCACGCCTCCAAAAATCCGCATCACGCCATCGATCTCCTGCTCCAGGCGCCGGGCCCAGTGCTGCATCCTGCAACCCAGAGGAGAAAGAGATGTCAGGAGCGCCTGCCAGAGCTGCAGCTACAGCACCCGACTCCCCAGCCACCCAGGGCCACCAGGACAGAGACTCACTCCACTCAATTTTCACCAGGGAAGGAACAGACACAAGGAACCAGAGTGAGCCTGTGATTTTTCCCTTTGAAGTCTGGCCTGGTGGCCTAGGCTTTCCTCACACTGACTGGTGGCCAGGGAGGAGAGGAGAGGGCATTATGGATTCACTGAGGGAGTTTTAAGCAGGCTGGAAGAAGCCTGCAGGGAGGCTATTGTTAACTGTGGAGACCAGTCCTCGAGGTAGCTGTTCTGAACATGGGGACTTCCAGGCGCCAGGGAGGACAGAGACATGAGAAAGCCAGGTGAAGTCTGAGGACAGGGAGGGGACACTGCTGTTACCTCCAACCCATTATGTAAACAGGAGGAGGTGGAGGTACCTACCTCCCCGGGCCTCAGCTGAGCATGAGACACAGAGCACTTCCAACTCAGATGGCCCTTGCCTTTCTAGTTCCCTGGTAGGAGATGCTCATCAGAGAGCCAAGGCCAGATGCCCACCATGAGCCCACTCAGGGCTCCAGTACAGATCATCCAGTCCCTCTCTGGAAGTCTGGGAAGCAGAGGCTCTGAACTGCATGCCTGGACAGGCCTCCTGGACACTTGAGCCACCACAGGATCATTTAAAACCATCTCTGTGTCTCTCAGCTTCCTCTTCTGGAATGGGGAGGTAATTTGGGGCCATCTCTTAGAATGGCACAGGAAAACGGAAGACTAGGTGAGCCAAGGATGCTGTAAGGGAATCTCTGTGAGTGGACAAGAAGAACAGGTGTCTGTATGACCTGGTATCCTCAGACTTACATCCATTCTAGCATGCTGTAGACCAGGTTCGTCTAAGGAGCTCCCCAGTTAGGGACCCACCACAGAGATGTAAAGAAGCCATGGGTTCACAGGACACAGTGGAGAAAAGCGATGTCAGAAAAGTTGCAACTGTCCTCACCATCCTTCTCAGGGCCAGCAACATCCCCTAAGGTCTCTTAGGGCCAGGACTCACTTCTGGCTCCTTGTCCCACATTCTTCCTCAGGCCTGTGCTAGGAGGGGGGTTGAGCTCATGCCATTGTGTGTGCCCGGGTCGGTTGGCATGGGAACTCAGAGCAGGAGGCGGGCAGATCACTAATTGCAATTTGCCAAGCTGAATGTCAGGACCGTGATGGAAAAAAATCAACATCAAAAGAAAGAGGTATTAGCTTCAGCTTGTTGTGGGCTGAGCCACAGCCTGACTCCCCAACTCTGTTCCCCACCGTAGGAACAATCTAACCTCAAGTCGGTGTAGAGCCAGGCTGTGAGCCTCAGCTGCCAGCCTGGGGAGGGAAAGATGCACCACACAGAAGCACCGTCTCAGCCTGACCCCGTCCACCAGCACTGACGGCACCCAGACAGTGTGGCAGGTGGCTCTTTCATGATCCTGAGACTACAGAGCCTTGGGGGCTAACAACAGAACAGAGTCTCAGACATTCCTCTTTCTGGGTAGAACGGGCAGGGTCAGGGACCCCTCAGCTCTGCCCTGACCTTAAACCTGACCTCAGCCATTCATTGGTTTATGAGACAAGATACCAATCATAATCCTATAGAATCTGATTCATGCAGAACTATGATTCTACAGAAGGGCACCCACTGTGTGCTAAGTACAGTACCAGTACGTCATGTGCCCTCTGGCTTCAGTCTTCACGAAGGCAAACAAAATCCCCAAATCACAGAGGTGGAAGCTGAGACTCAAAGGGTTTAGTGACCTGTCTAAGGTCACTCATCCAGGAGAGGGTGGACACAGAGATAATTACAGAAGTTCGCCTGCTGGAGTCGAAAGAACTGACACACAAGAGTCAGCCATGAGCATCTCTTTCCAACTGGGCACATCACCTGCAGTGCTTGAAGCCAGCCACAGTGGGAACACTTACACCACAGGAATGGGCAAATGTTAGCAAGCACAGCCCCGCCCGCCCCGCCCTTACCCCAGCAACAAACTTACAAGCATTTTAAAATTCTTTGAGAATTTTTTTTTTTTTACAATGTTTTCTGGTCATATCTATCCCCTCCACCTCTTCCCATATCCATCATTACCTACCAACTTTATGAACATTTATTTATTTATTTATTTATTTATTTATTTATTTATTTATTTATTT